TCTTTCTTGACATATTTTTGAGAAATATGGGAAGGAAAATTTTGGGGTACAAAAAAGATAAAATGGTAACATCTCGTTCCAGTCTTTGTATGTCACCATCATCTTCTGCACAATCTTCTTGATATTCTTATTAGCCGCTTCAACAACCCCATTCATCTTCGGCCGGTAAGGAGAAGATTTGTGATGCTGTATCTTGAATTGTCTACAGAGCTCAGTGATAATTGTATTGTTGAGATTTGTACCATTGTCCGTAATGATATTTTCTGATACACCATACCAACAGATCAGATTGTGCCGAATAAATCGTGCCACGACGTTCTTGGTTACTGTAGCGAAGGAAGCTGCCTTAACCCACTATGTAAAGTAATCAATCGCTACCAGGATGAAACAACGACTGTTGGATGCAGTAGGTCTGATCTCGCCAATCATATTGATGCCCCACATTGCAAAAGGCCAAGGAGCTGTCAAGACATTCAGAGGAACTGGAGGGATGTGCACCTTATCAGCATAGACTTGGCACTTATGACAGGTCCGAGAATGCTGATAACAGTCGGCTTCCATGGTGGACCAATAATATCCTTCCCGTAGGATCTTCTTTGCCATGGTGTGTCCACTAGAATGGGATCCAAAAGTGCCTTCATGTAGATCTGCCATGATCCTTTCTGATTCGTTCTTATCCACACAATGCAGTAAGGTTGAATCATGATTACGCTTGTAAAGAATACCATTAATGATGAAGAACTTCGCCACGAACCTCCTCAGAAACTTCTTATCATTAACAGATGCACCCTCAGGGTACTCTTGAGCCTCAAGATACCTCTTTACCTCATGAAACCAGGGTTTTTCTGTTACCTCTTCAGTCTCAATGTCACAACAATGTGCAGGTTCATCCAACCTCTCAATGGTAATCTGGGGAGCCTCATAATCCCACCTGACTTTGAACACAGAAGACATCATAGCTAGCGCGTCCGCTAACTGATTCTCCTCTCTGGGGAAGTATTCAAAGGTTATCTCCTCGAAGTGCGGAAGCAAAGTTAACACATATTCTTTGTAAGGAATAAGGTTTATGTGCTTCGTATCCCACTCGCCTTTGATCTGATTGATCATGAGAGCGGAATCTCCGAACACACTTAAGAACTTAATCCTTAGGTCAATAGTTGCTCGAAGACCCATAATGCACGCTTCATACTCCGCCATGTTATTGGTGCAGTTAAAACATAATCGGGCGGTGAACGGAGTATGACAGCGTTCAGGAGATATGATCACGGCGCCAATGCCATTACCCAAAGCGTTTGAAGCTCCATCAAAATACATAGACCATCGGGATCCCTCCTCAGGTCCTTCATCCGGTCCAGGTGTTTCACATTCAGTCACCAACATGATGTTCTCATCCGGGAATTCGAAGTTCATAGACTGGTAATCGTCCATTGCCTGATGTGCCAAATGATCTGCCAACACACTCCCCTTGATTGCCTTTTGAGTCGTGTACTGGATGTCATACTCGGTCAAGATCATCTTCCATCTTGCTATTCTTCTGGACAAGGCAGGCTTTTCGAAGATATACTTGATTGGATCCATCTTTGATATCAATAGGGTAGTGTGAGTCAGCATATACTGTCTCAGCCGGCGAGCAGCCCATGCCAAAGCACAGCAAGTTTTCTCAAGCAGTGAGTATCGGGTCTCACAGTCGGTAAACTTTTTGCTAAGGTAATAAATAGCATGCTCTTTTCGGCCAGACTCGTCATGCTGCCCCAGCATACACCCCATCGAATTGTCGAGTACTGTCAAGTATAAAATCAAAGGTCTCCCTTCAACTGGAGGCATCAGAATAGGTGGCTCTTGGAGATATTATTTGATCCTTTCGAAAGCGGACTGACATTCATCGTTCCATCTTACCACTTGATCTTTCTTCAGTAACTTGAAGATTGGCTCACAAGTAGCAGTCAGGTGTGAGATGAATCGGGCAATATAGTTCAGACATCCCAAAAAGCCTCTGACTTCTTTTTCTGTTTGAGGAGCTGGAATTTCCTGTATAGCCTTCACCTTTGTAGGATCCACCTGAATACCTTTATGACTAACGAAGAAACCCAGCAGCTTACTAGACCTCACTCTGAAGGTGCACTTGTTCGTATTTAGCCTCAGTCTGTACAACTTCAATCTGTCAAATAACTTCTGGAGATGGTCAAGATGTTCCTCTTCAGTCTGGGATCTTGCAATCATGTTGTCAACGTATACCTCTATCTCATGGTGAATCATGTCGTGGAACAAAGCGACCATGGCGCGCTGATATGTTTCCCCAGCATTCTTCAATCCAAACGGCATGACCTTGTAGCAAAAGGTACCCCATTGCGTAACAAAGGTTGTCTTTTCCATGTCTTCGGGAGCCATCTTAATCTGATTGTAAGCAGAGAAACCATCCATAAAGGAGAAGACCTTATGTTGTGCGGTGTTGTCAACCAAAACATCGATGTGAGGCAGAGGGAAATCATCCTTGGGGCTTGCCCTATTCAGATCCCTATAGTCAACACACACTCGTACTTTACCATTTTTCTTCTGCACCGGGACCATGTTGGCCAGCCACTGCGGGTAAGAAGTAACTGCTATAAAACCGGTATCAAACTGTTTCATAACCTCAGTGTTGTACCCCAAAATTTTCTATCCCATATTTCTCAAGACATGTCAAGAAGAATTCCCAAGTGGCTTAAGATTGCTCAAGAGTTGGACAGTCAAGTCATCTCCTAAGGCAGTCAATCTCAAATTAGGGTTTTGTGTTTCATCAAGGTCCTTACATCCAAATGGCCTCAAGTTCTCCCCAATGCCTTAATACATTATCAAGTTCATCCATGTCAAATTTCAAGCCTTGTAGAGAAAGTTTGGTCAGTCAATTGCTCAAGAGGTCCAAAAATCAACTGTGCTAGGGCAAAAGTCAACTGTGACCTACAAATAGTCAAACCTCAAGATTTTTTGTCAAAATTATCATTTTGGAGGCTAATTCATCATTTGATCAAGGGTTGATCATGATTCATCAAGGATTGCTCAAGATTCATCAAGATTCAAAAGTTGCTAAATTAGGGTTTTGTAGGAAAAGTCAACTCAACTTTGACCAAGCATAACTTTCTCATATTTTATGATAAATGACCCATCCAAATCTCATTTTGAAGAGGATGAAATTTTCTACAATCCATATTCACACTCCAAGATCAATAAATGCACTCACAAAAAGTTACAAATTTGGACATTATAGGTCATTTTTGAAAGTCAACAAAAACACCTTTTTTGCCAAAGATTATAACTTGAGCATGATATATAAAAATGAGATGATACCAAAAGGGTTGGTTATAGGACATCTCAAGGTTTCTAAAAAGTCCAAGAACACTTCCAAAAGTTCAAAATTGAAGAAGTTATGCATTGTTGAAGTTGGGCATTTTCCAAAATTTCCAAAAGTCAACTATCCCCAAAACTCCAATTTTTGACAAAAGGGCCCACTTTTTTCCACTTGATTTGATCTTGTCACACCACACACGTGTCCTATCTTCAGTTTTATGTCCAATTATTAATTTTTCTATTTTATTTGATTTTTATTAATTTAATTCATTTTTAATCAATTTAAATCCAAATAAAATCCAAATCTTAATAACTTGATATCTTTTTGATCATTACAGGTCTTAAGTGACATCATGAACACAATCAAATTCGTGCCAAGCCATATCATGCACAAAATCTTGGATTTGGAAAGAAATTGGAAGCCTTTAATGGAGGAATCAAATCATATCTTAATTCATCAATTCACATGGATTCAAGGCCCAACTTTTAACCTAATTCATTCCTTATTACTCATACAAGGAAAAGACATCAAGAACATGACCAAAAAGCTGCCCAAATCACAAAACCAAAACTAAAAAAAGTTTGAAAAAGTTGGAGATCGAAATCTTGTTTGGAGTCCAATTCAAGGCAAAAGCTCAACGTAGCCTTCTTGCCTGACATCCACTGGAGCTAAAGCAACCATTCACAAGCTCTGAAGCCACCTGAATCGCGCTGTAAGTATCCATGAACATGGCCCTGTACACAAAAACATAACCTCCTATTCTTGCACCTTTTTGCCTAAATCTTTGCATATTCATGCTTTTCGTTGCATTATGAAGCTTTTGGCATAATTTGATTGCATTTTTATAGCTTGTAACCCTGTTCCCGAGACTAGGGTTTTGGTTCTTGTTTTTTAGGCGTTTGAGGTTCAGGTAAAATTGAAGCAAATAATGGATATAGGTGAACTCAGGAGGAAGAGACGATCACGTCCATGTTCTTGGATTTAATTTTTATGGCTTAGAATGAATTTTAGAAGCAAGCCATGGATCACTACAAGAAAAATGATAGATTGGGACGGTTATTTTGGCTGATTACGACGGTTAAAACCGTCGCAATTTACAATCTACGCGGTAGAAGTACCGTCGCAGAATCGTGCGTCCCCAGCCTATTTCGCGACGGTTGCAAAAACTGTCACGCACAACAGATAGCGACGGTTATATACCGTCGTGAATTTGACTTTATTTTTTGTTTTTGTTGTTGTTTGCGACGGTTATTCTACCGCCGTAGGTTAGAAATTGCGGCGGTTTTAACCGTCGTAATCTGATTTATAAATTTCAAATAATATTTTTATTTAAATTATTATTTAGTAAAATAATTTTAAATATAATATTATTTTACTATAATATTTTACTATTATATTTAAATTATTATTTACTTTAATATTTTTTTTTATAGTATTTTTATTTTATTTTCTATCACTTTTCAACATAATAAAGTTAATTACAATAAAAACATTTAATATCAAATAATCATCAATAATATCAAAAAAATGTGATCAAAGGTAAAAAGAAGTGCAAATTTTACCAATAAACAAGAAAAATTCAAATATCATCAAAGGCCAAATTTCATTTTAATATTTACATTGGTTTGCTACAACTTGAGAGAATTACAAAAAATGTTACAATATTCTACAAAATTCATGAAAGTCCTTTACCACATTTTGTATGTTTCTTCACACGCGCACCGCACAATACTACTCTTCTAGCTAACTCATCCATGATCACATTCTCTGCATCATTTCCTTTCAAATTTTTTTCTCTTGCAAGTAAAAGTGCTGTTTCATGTCTTTCATTCTTAATATCACATTTTGCTCCATGAGATATCAAAAGGCCACACATTTCTCCATTACTTTCTCTGGCAGCTAACATCAATGGTGTATATCCATTTTCATCAAAACCATTCACATCGTAATTCCCTTCCTTTAGTAGTTTTTCAACCATGTTTATATCTCCATAACAAGCTGCACGGTGAAGAGTATTCGCTTCGGCTAAAGTTACAGTTACCATTAATCAAACATTGAAGAATGTTGCATAGTCCGAGGCGTGCAGCCATGTGAATAGGGTATAGATTTGTTTCTTCTTCAGTAGTTTGAAGGGCCAATTCTGTATCAACCCCATTATTCAGAAGTACATTTAATGCTCTTTCATTGTTGCAAATGATGGTGTGGTGCAAGAGAGTTCTTCCCATGTGAAAACTATTAGGTGAGAGGTGATGGAGAAGCATGTTGAGTATAGTGCCAGTGGATTCAAAATATTCTACAGCACACCATGTGATTGGAAAAGGCTCGGCTAGTCCGACACCAACACGGAATTCTTCTCCTGTATCTGTTTCCCAAGACCAAGCTCCTAATTTGACCTTGATATCAAGTCTTACACCAACCTGCAAAAGGAGTTTAACAACATTTATCTGCCTGCTGACCACAGCAGCAAATAATGCATTGCAATCAACATTAGTGTGAAGAAATGGCTTTGAAGATTGAAGCAAAATTCTATCGATTGCATTGATATCCACTCCTTGCTGCAAACAAACCAAAGAAAAAGTGACACTTAGTACATGAATTGTTTGTACCTAGCAAAATTACAACCAGAGAACTTGAGAGGAGCACGCTCTCAGGACCTAAGCTTTTACCGCTAGGCCAACCCTCATGTTTTCTCAGCTTCCTCCTTTTTCAACCGTGATTTTGAGAAGCTGATATGTCTAGCTTCTGTTCACCGTGATTTTCATGTTTTCCACACACGCACTATACCGAGTTGTAACTTTGAGAGAAATGAGAGGACATTTGTTCTTACCAAAAGCTGCTCAAGGAAACAGAAATAAGCAAGCATGCTGACAATGACAAGCACAGGTAACTCCTGCCAAACCCTGTTAAATTGTGCACACAAATTGAAGTGTTACCGGTAGCAATTACTTTTAGTACAAGAAAGATACAAAGAGAACGCTATATTCCATTTATAAACCAATGCACTTGTATCGACCGCAGAAATCCCAAAACAAAATTGACTACATGATAATATTCTGAAGAGTAAACTGAAATCTAAAACTTCAATACAAGCAGATCATAGATCGTGGGAATACTGATTCTCCATGGAATGAGCATTGCTTCTCCAAACAACTTCTTGCTGACTTGTTGGCAAATGATGAACTCCCACTGGCATGAATTTCCTCATCAGAAAGTAATCCATGGTCATAGGTACAAGGCTCTCTCAAACTACAAGCTTTATCTAGCATTGCATGTCCCGGTTCACTTCCTGTAAGAACATGAGAATCAGCTGTGCTCTCTAACACGGGAGAAATTTTTTCAAGGTTGATCTTCTTCTGGCAGCCATCTTGTAGATCCAGAGACTGAAAGAGGAAAAAAGGGATTAAAAAGCCTGATTATAAGGAGGAAGTTACAATACATAAATACAATGGTGACACTAAATTGGAATTTATCTCTGACCTGTCTAGGAGTAGTAGGTGTATTTTGCAGAGTTCTACATTTATATGTTTCATCAGCATTAGTGTGAAAGCTCCAACCACGTAAATGTATAGAACGATGCAACTCATTCACAAATGAGGCCTCTAAAGAACTCAGATATAATTTATGCAGTTGATCTGTCCATCATCTAGACTTGTCCTGGTACAAAATTTTGAATTAGGTATATCCTTGCCAACTAAATGAAATGAAAATAAAAGCTTCTAAATTCACAAGCAATCAAAAACAAGGTCTAAGGACGGACACAATTTATTAAGCAAAGACACGTGGAAGACAGGGTGTGTCTTTGCTGTGGCTGGTTGCTGCAGCTTGTAAGCCACCTCTCCAATTCTAGCTAGCCAGCAACATAAATGGACCATAATAACGTGGAGCGAACTTGGGACTGATGCGCACCTCTACTGACTGCTGAACACGCGGATGCAATTTCAGGAAAACCCAATCACGAACTTGAAACTACATCATTCCTGTGAGCATCAGCTAAAGGTTTCATTCTAACTTGAGCACGGTGCAAATAAAATTTCAACTGGCGTAAGCACTCATCAAGATCCATTAAATCCCTTCAATCAACAATATGTAGGTTTTTTCAGTTCATACCGTTGAAAGTTTCAGTTCATATGTGAAACCAAATATTTGATAGACATAATCAATGAAGTCCAAGGCTTTTCTCACTTCATCTTTAACCTGCAAAATGAATTAATAGAATAATTTCAGCTTCAGCTTAAAAGATATCATAAAAATTATATTACATAAATTTACGTTAACACACCTGGGACTCCCTGCAGAAAATATGTGCATCATCCTGTCCAACACACAAAGTAAAGGGCATAAACAATACAGAACTAATAGTATAGAAAATAGAAGTTAAAGACAAGGTGATACAACCCCACAATTGGGGTGCTCCAATATTCACACCATAAATACAACCCCACAATTGGGGTGCTCCAATATTCAGACATGAGGTGTTAGTGCTAATCTTCTAAAGCAATCACAGCACTGGTTGGAGAAATGCAAGTGAGTCTTTTAACCATCAGCTGCTTAGTTGGCATTCCATAAGCTATACCATACTCATCCCAACCACTTTTCACAGCCACACAGTCATCCCCGGACACTATATAACAGTCCTCAATCCGCGTGTTCGTGCAAGAGTCTGTGCCATAAACCATAAACCACAATCAGTCCCGGATATACTAGACTATACATCGCAGCATCTTGAAAAAGATGTATATACTAACTTAACTTACCAGGGTTGATCCCATCTGTATTTGGCGAATTCACAGGAGCGAGAATTGTGATGCCTCGAACAACAATGTTGCTGCATTCAATTTCTTTATATCAGAAAACTCAGAACAATAATGTAGCAGATTGATAATTGATAACAGACACCACAAAGAGAAAAAGATGAACCTGCTATAAACAGGATGAACATTCCAGGATGGAGAATTAACCAAAGTCAGATTCGATATCTGAATATCATCTGAGTGCATGATTTCAACCAGGTAAGGCCTGGTATAGCTAAGCTCCCCCTTATGGAACTTTTGCCACCACACTTCACCTTGTCCATCTAATGTTCCATTGTCCCCTATTCAAATTCATAGTTAAAGCAACCGAATTTTAGTTCCCAAAAGCATAACCGGATTGTACAGTTCAATCTTCGATTACACAGAAATAGCAGGCAAACTGACAACAATCATCGATCTTATAAGTTACCTGTTATGACTATATCAGTGAGGTTGGTTCCAAAAATTAGACTGCTATATCGTCCGCCTTGAGTGTCCCTCCCTCGACCATAAGACGGTAAGGGCTCAATCACCGGCCACTCACTTTCGTCCTAAAAAGTCACATCACGAACATAATATCAACATTCAAAGCACTTCAATTACATCACATTTGCATATTCATATAGATGTACAAGACTAGTTAAGCTAATAATCAAACCTGAGAGGCAAGAATGACTGCATCTTTGTGTAGGAACAAAGTGAAATGACTGGTGAGATTGAAACTACCAGTCAACCATCTTCCTGGTGGAACATAAAGTTGAGACCCGCCGTTCGACGAGTACTGACTCAGATGATCTACAGCCGTCTGAAAGGCCCGCGTGTTCGAAGTTTGTCCATCGCCAACCGCTCCAAACTCCGTCACTGAGGCACTGTAAGCTCTGCAGCTCACAGCACAGTACTCAACATAGTGCTCCACAGCCAGTGTTTTTCGGCTCTCGACTACATTCAAGCCTGGCAAAGCAACCAATAGAGGCAGTAACAACATGCGCTTAAGAAAACAATGAAGGCTAGTTTAATGAAAAGGGCTAAAACATGGATAGTGGCTAAAAAAGAATAGATGATACAGAAACTAAACTCAGAAATCTCTGCTCAGTTATAAAGAAAAGTGAAATATCAAAGATGGAGAGGAAGATGATGAAGAGAATGGCAGAGAATGGCATCAGGTTTATAACCCTGTCAACCATGCGCTTAAGAAAGCGGAGAGCTCGATTGTACTTAGCTGATTTGAATGACCTAATGAGAGCTTCATCGTAATCTTGATCAAGTTTTGGCCTTGTTTCATTGACCCTGATTCTTGTTCTTCGGTTGTTGGTGTTGCCCGGGGTTGAGGAAGTGACGATAGTGTTGGGATTTGAACGGCGAGAAGTGCGGTTTGGGTGGTTTCTGAAATTGAGAGTGTGTGATAAGATTTCAGTTGAAAAGGTTGTCATTGATGATGATGATGATGTTATCGGTTGTTGTTGGAAGATTTATGGCTTGAGTTTGGACAAAATTCAGTATCATAGAATGGATAAGGGACGATACATATTTTATCCTAACCAAATATTATCCTAAAAAATCATTAAAAAAAATAAAACCCTAAAACAACAAATTAGAAAACCTAACATCAATTCAATATATTCAAACTCAAATGAAAGGTTTAAGGGTGCGACGGTTGTTTTACCGTCGTGAAATGAATTTTAGGACGGATAATTTTACCGTCGTGAAAGGTTTAAGGGTGCGACGGGTTCTTTACCGTCGTGATATGCCTTTTAGGACGGTTAATTTTACCGTCGTGACTAGTTGTTGGTGAAAAATCAATGTTAAAAGTGTTAAATGGGGGCCGACGGTTGTTTTACCGTCGTAATAATAATATTATGATGGTTAAATATACCGTCGCAAAATAAATATTAGCGACGGTTGGTGTCAACTGTCGTAAACACTGTCTCTATATGTCAATTACGACAGTTATCACATAACTGTCGCAATTTTTGTGTCGTTAAACACTAATTTTCTTGTAGTGGATCTTGCTGCAGATAAAAATCCGCAGGTAAGAAAACCAGAGATTTGTGGGGAAGACGAAGGCGTGTCTCCTTCCCATTGGCCCGTTCTAATAGCGCGCCATTTTTTTTTATTTTTCCAGCATATTACATGTTTTTCACATATAATAATCAGTGTTTATTCCATTAACAATTAAGCATATTGGTTCAGCTGGCAAGCGCGTTAGTGGAAAGTCTAATGGGACCTGGGTTCGAATCCCAGGCCCCCCCAAATATTTGTTGAATTTTGTTTACAGGTGATTCCATGCAGCATCAAAAGCGTGGAATATCATGCGTCTCCTTCCAATGCTTGGCAGATGGCCTTCAGGCCAAATCCAAGGGCCAAGATTGAACGCCCATCATGTTCTCCAGTCAACACACGCGTGGGTAATCTGGAAAGTCAAAGCAGGCTAGCAACTATTGGGCCAAAGAATTTCTCTTCTCACCACAATCTGGGCCCAACACCCCCCCCCCCATGAGTATTTATTTTTATTTTTATTTTGCTTTCTTTATTTATTTTAATATTATATTCTTAATTAATTACTAACCAATTAATTTATTTTCCTTATAAAATAAAAACCACAAAAAAATTTTATTTTTATTAATTTCATTATTTTATTTTTGTAAATAAATATTAATCAATTAATTTATTTTTTAATTAGGTATAATTTTAATATTTTTGCAATAAATTAAAATCAATGTAGAATATTAGGTTTTACTAACTTTTAACTAAATTTATTTTATTTTTTTAAATATAAAAAAAAATCCAAAATTTTTTTTTATTAATTAATTAATTAATTTTGACTTAATTTAATTTCCATTTAATTCAAAAAATAAACAAAAAAAAATACTTTCTTTAATAAAAAAAAGGGTCAAAACCCTAAAAAATGCGTCGTCTTAATTTCTTGCACACGATCCATTTGATTCCAATATTGTAATTGCTTCTGGTATGTAATAGCTTTTAATTAGGACTTTAATTATTTATCGCTTTATTTTACTTTCCGCAACTTAAATTAAAGGGTTTGTTTTTGGCGATGTAAATACCTGACGCCTTGTAATAGTTTAGATTTAATTTCCGCAAATTTAAATTCCGCAACTATACACTGTTAGATGTTTGATAATAGGGAATGCGTGACAAGATCAAATGTATGAACTTAAAATCAACATAGCTCACCCATGACATGTACAAAGATAAATTAACCGAAATGACACACTTGCACATGCCACTCTTAGGGTACACCTCACTTGGTTGCCTTCTAACGTGGTCATTGAGTATAGGAAGTTTTAGAGGTCGCCCTCTTGTCCAAATATCATAAGTTGCCTCGAAACAGTTGCCTCGGAAAAAAGATCTAAGACATTAGGGTTACCGCTAAGGCGTCCTAACATTGCTTTAGTGACCACACGTCCCTTAATGGAATTGACCCTAAAACTCCAACGACGATGCTAACTACTCATCAATAGTGGGCTAGCATTGCCTAAAGGACATTAGCACAGTTTAATTCCCTTTTCGAGTAGGTAGATGGTTCTTAAGTACTTGCTCTCTTTTAAAAACAAAACAAAACTTTCCGCACTTACACCTTTCAAACAAAAACTTCTTTCAAACCCACAAACACAAAGAAAAGCAATTTTGAAAACACTTTGAGCAAGTACCTAAGAGCCCGTGGATAACCACAGATAGAAAGGATGCTAACACCTTCCCTTTCTATAATCTACCTCCCAGACCCGAGAAAGATCTCGAAAAAGGAATTTTTCTGTGCTTTTTTCCTTTCCTTGTTGGATAAAATAAAAGACGCTGGCGACTCTTGCTTACCGTGACATTTTGCAAAAACAAACGCAAAACGCAAACCAGCATTCCAAAAAACAGTCGGTTCTCATTCCCACCGATCACAGAACTGGCGACTCTGCTGGGGAATTAATAAGTGAGGTGTACCTTAGGATTAGATCATTGTGTTTTCAATTGTATGCTTTGTATGCTTTATATTTGTGGGCTTGTATCGGAGTTCTATAGATCCTAACCCGAATCTGGGGGTACCCTTTAGGTAAGTAGCAATAAACTGTGAGGGAACAGTTCGGCGTAGACCGACACGGTTGAAGTAGTAGCTACGTTGGTGTGGCACTTTAGTCTGTACCGATATCCCTTGTGTTGTAATGAGGAGAATATGGGTCTTCTAAGGGGTCATTAAACACCAAATGACCTTAGACCTTAAATTGACCAACTTGGCCATAGAACAGTAGTAGTATGCTACACTCATTGAGACTAAACTCTCGCGATGATTCCGGCTGCAAGAAAAGGTTGCAAAACTGGAATTATGACCGATCGAGGGTAGTCAGTGATATTGAGATCCTCTAGAACCCGGTTACTATTTTTAGGACAGGTTTAAACCAACTGAACTGAAATAGGGTAGTACCTAAGCTCCTTGCCAGCCTGAAATCTAAGGGCTCTCTGTGTGACTTGTGTGCCTTTACCATGTTTGCTTTTTGTGGATACTTGTGGTGTGCTTACTATCATGACATCATGACATCATGACATTGCATACATCTTGCATATGACTAACCTATTTCAAAGACATGAGGGTTTCATCTTTGCTCTGTTTTGTAGGTCATCATGATGCCTATGCGTAGAAATACCATCCGGATTAACTTTGTCCAGGTTCCCACCTTGCTTAAAGATTTGGTTACAAAGATGCCTGACACTACTTCCTTCATCAGGAGGCATGGTTCTCTTCTCAGTTTGGTCACCTCCAAATTGGACGAGCAGATGATGAGTGTCCTAGTCCAGTTCTATGATCTGTTGTACCATTGTTTTACTTTTCAAGACTATCAGCTGGTTCCCACCCTAGAAGAGTTCTCTGAGCTGCTCGATATCTCTGTTCTGGAGCAGACCCCATTTACTGGTTGGGAGAAGACCCTTAGGCCCGAAGAAATTGATGCAGCCTTTCATTTGACCAAAGAGGAGGTAATGGCTAATTGGGAGACTAGAAGTGGAGCAAAGGGCTTTCTGACTAAGTTTTTGGTTGGTAAGGCTAACTATTTCTGGGATGGTCTAGACTTCAAGGCCTTCGAGGATACTCTGGCTCTTCTGATTTATGGCTTGGTATTGTTTTCGAACTCTGACTCTTTTATGGATGTAAATGCGATAAAGATCTTCATCTCTCAGAATTCGGTACCCACTCTCCTGGGTGACATCCTTCATCAGCTCTATGCTCGTACTGCCCGAAAGCGGGGAACCTTGATGTGTTATGCTCCTTTATTGTCTAGGTGGTTTATTTCACACCTTCCTAAATCAGTGCTGAAGAATAAAGAAGGCATGGGCTGGGCTTATAGGGTCATGTCTCTCTCTCACAATGATATCATTTGGACTCTTAAGGGTATGGACGAGGTGACCATCATTGATCGTTGTGGGGAGTACCCCAATGTTCCACTGTTAGGAACCCATGGAGGAATTTCTTACAACCCGTGCTTAGCCTTACGTCAGTTCGGACGTTCCAGAAGAGAAGGGCCTCATGAGATGCTAATGCCTAGTATCATCTTTGACTTTCAAGGAGATAGCGACGAACAACGTCGCGGATTCATAAAGGCTTGGGATAGAGTTCACCAATCTGATCCACATGAGCTGGGACCAAAGACTTCTCTGCCAATGGAGCCATATCTCAGATGGGTCCGCATCCGTGCCCAAAAGCTAGGTATGCCATATGAAGTTGTCCGGCCTGTCACTCTTGAAGTTGCTAATGAAGAAGGAGTTCTTCCAACCATCCTCCATCCTTATATGCCCACTGACATTGGGGAACTGAAAAGGTCTTGGATGCAACTGAGGGAAGAACGGGATTGTTACCGAGAGAAGTTCAATGAGCAAGAGCAGAAGATCCAGAGGTTGAATAGACAGTTGGAGAACGAGCGGATTCTCAACGACTATGTCCGTACTGAGAAGAAGAGACCATGGGAGCGTTGATTGGCCTTTGATCATTTC